TACAAACTGGGGATAGTATCTAAGACTTATCCACAAGAACTTCCCCTCTACCAAGTGCAGAACCCATCACGAGGGAGGAGCTCGACTCTATGGTTGAAACCTTCATAAATATGTGCTCAATCCACCCGTAAGTTCGTCAGAAGGGGGACTCCACAGGGGAGAGTTCTCTCCCCGCTTATATGGGTGCTGACTGTAAATCAGCTGTTACGCATCATGCAGTCGGAGGGTCATGTTGTCCTAATGAAATCAGTTCTCTCAACACTCTCGGGGTGGACAAAACAATACGGCTTGGGAGTGAATTCCACAAAGACGGAACTTGTACTCTTAACAAGGAAGTACAGAATTCCGGAGCTTCAACCACTAAAACCAAATGGAGTCAGCCTCGGTTTCAGCGACAAGGCTGGATGCTTAGGGGTCACCCTGGATAGGAAGCTTAACTGGATGGACAACATAGTTGAGCGGGTTAAGAAGGCCACTAATGCACTCTATTGGGACCAGATGGGGCTTCTCACCTCAGATGGTGCATTGGACGTATAAGGCTATCATTCGACCGATCGCATTTTATGGGATCGTCGTCTGATGGCCGGCGCTGGATAGATCCTCTGCTCAGGGTACAGAGGTCAGTTGAACTAAGCATCAGTGGTACCCTACGCAGAACCACAACTGATGCCATAAACATAATATTATATCTTCTCCCCCTGGACATAATCGGAAAGAACTGGCTATCAATACAGCACTAAGTCTTAGAGAAACCTCGGCTTGGAAAGATTCGGCCAATGGGCACGCAAGTATTCTCCGTCTCCACCCGGAGGTCCCGACCCACACTGTTAGTATTCCTACTAGAGAGGAATGGGAAGGTGTTTCGCTATGCGCTCCAAACTGGAAAGAAGAGTGGGGGGAGGAGTCTACTCCCCTGACCTGGGGATTATGTTATCCTTTCGCCTTCCTGATCACAGTAGTGTTTATTAGGCAGAAATCACTGCGTTGATGGAGGCTACGCGGCACCTATCGCCGAATGCAATAAGCAGAAAGCAATGTTACATCTACTCTGATAGTCAGTCAGCTCTTAAAGCGGTTGATTCCAACATGGATATTTCCAGGGTCATCGCGGACTGCCGCAGATCTCTCAATGAGATTAGCCAAGCATGTCGCAAGGCTAGGGATCCTTCACAACGACTTCTGCAGAAGCTGCAGGGATAAAGAAGAGGAAGAAAGTGTCGAGCACCTCCTCTGTCACTACCCAGCGCTCAGTAGGCGCAGGCTTCTTGCTCTAGGACGACCATTCTTGAATAATCTCTCTGAGCTCGCAAACATCGCAAAATTCATTATGGTATTCGAACTCACGTAAAGGGTGTATGATTGCACAGGTGGACGGACAGACAGACAGGCATAGAACGACTCGTCTTGTCATGCTGATCAAGAATATATACATATACTTTATGGGGTCTACTTGTTACATTTTTCAGCTCATGCAAACCTAATATACTCTTGTACATTTCATGTATAGAGTATAAAAATAGTCCTAATTTCTTTGTACTACAATATTTGTAGTTGATGCGATAGGGGTCTGCTCTAAAATAATGCTCATCAAGGGAATTAGAGGAGCTATTCTACAGTAATAAGATATATATCCTCCTGGAGTTCTTGCAGCACCTATTGTTACACTCTCCAGCGCAAAGACCCCGATAACCCCTACCTCGGGTTTGGTTAGTTTACAGCAGCGGTGGGCAAATAGTGGCTCCCAGGGCTCTTTCCGTTGTATTTTGGGAAGTGCCGCCTGCCAGACGCATAAGCAAACGATCAATCGCGGGCTAACTTACAAAAACAAAATACATGCAGCTGTGGCCAGCGAAACGCACAAGCAGATTGATGTAATAACAAAATACACGCAGTGCCTTTATCGTTGCTCGATTTTCAGTAAGATTTAGTCACAACTCTAACGGAAGTTTTGTTGTAGATGTTGTGGTAGGGATCCCGATTTCAAATTTCGTGCCCACCGCTGGTTTACAGTCAAGTCGGTCAAGTAAGCGCCGTTCTTGAACCTTGTTCACAAAAGTAATGCAGGCTGTTGCATTCTCTAGTTATAATGATATGAAGAAGAAGAATCTTCGCCCCTGCGTGAGACTCCTGTTTAGTTTCTGTGGCAATGTTCAATTCGTAAGTAATGATTATGTTGTCTGATATGGATTATGCGAATATAATTAATAATTTTCGCTTAACCTAGACCAATAATTGTTGTTGTTTGCGATTTTTTTCTGCAGTGGATTTTAGTTCAATTATAGTAAATATCATAAGAAACCCGAAAGTGCTGGTGTCAACAACACTGTTTGTTGTTAATATGGCATTTTTAATTTTGCAAACACGTAAAAGTATGTACTGCGGTGGAATCTCTTGCTTGTAGTTCGAGAGGGTAGAGTGGGTCGCTGCGGATAGAAGACGAGAGTCGTACGTACCGGCCTGCTCGTTCGTGCCAGCCATGCACATGTACGCGTGATGTGTCAAATTTTTATGTTGGTATGCTTGTGTGTACATATATACTTGTATTTCAAGGCGAAATGTGCGCGATCTGTTTCATCGCTGTCAACTTCACCTACCTGTTTTGCCATAGTGGAACCTGATACTGTTTCTGAATGAATATCTGATCATTTTTTGGTTATAAGAAATAAATAGAATACGAATTGACAGTGGGATTTATTGGTATGGGAATAAATAGGTAGAAAAGTTCCTTTAAATTACGACATGTTGCAACGCCATGGATCTTTGAAAATAGTATCAGGTATGATATTGCAAACGTAGGCGAAACAGCTGTGTCAAGCTAAAACAGAGTAAGCTGCAGATGCAGAGTGAAAGGGATCACGCACATTTCGCCTAAAAAATATACAGTCTGCAGTGACCCACGGCTAACCAAGGCAGCATTTTTCGTGGGTCCAAATGGGCCGTGTTCGCATTTTACCAACCCTGGCTACAACATATAAAAACCGAATGTTTTAATTCTTCGTTTCTAGTTTTAAATTAAAATTAATAAAGAGTTGATTTATATAAATATATACAGTAATTTATATTTCTATCAGTTTTAATTGGGTACCCATAAAGAGAGCGAAAGAATAGAGAATCAGCAGGAGTAGTTTACCATTGCTGATCTGCTGTTGGTGCCGCTCGCTGCTGCTGCTCGCGGGCTCGAGCTTTCTTTGGCGCCTCACTTCCCTGGCTCAAAAGTAGCATGACCGGTATCATTTCACCTTTAGCAGCACGATCGCCGTCTTACTAATGTCGACGGTAATACTGGCTTCCATTCCCCAATGGCCAACGATGGATATAAGTTTAGCTTCTTTCTCCTCCAAATCATTTGCATACGAGCATAAAGCACAGGGGTTCCCTAAGCGCTGGCAAAGAACGTCCATCACTTTTCAGAACTAATATAAAGAACATATTTGGCCATCAAAAAGATTTGTTAGCGTTAGACACATTTTTAAACTATCCTTTAGAACAGGGTCGTTTCGATTGATGATCAAAAACTGAACGAAATATAGTAGTTTAAAACATCAAGGCGAATCTTACATAGATCTATTTGAGCCCAAAACTAAATCATTTCATTCCCAAGAGTTTGATGAAAATCAACCGCTGATGACGGAATATCTTCAATTAAGTCAATACATACATCGTCTCACACACGAGGCTTCTTGAGCACCCATACTTGTACCATATCCATACCAATGACTTATTATTCATTCGCCTTAGAAGCCTGGCTTTCCACCTAATTACTTATATTTTTTAGAATTTAAAAACGTTTTCTTAGGCGTACCGTTTTCTGAGCGAAAAAAAAAAATGCTTACAAAATTGGTTCAAGCAAATACAAAAGTTTATTGATCTTCATGGAGAACATTTTCAAAAACAATAAAACCGTTTTCGATGGAATATCTTTGTTTTAGTTATATTCCTGAAAACAAAAAGCAGCGGCCGTATAATACAAATACAAATATGTCCCTATATTTGATTCAATATACATTGCATCGACCCTATTCGTGTTCTAATTCATAATTGTTTGCTGCCGTAGATAATAAAGAGTCCACAAATTACTTAATATGATGAAGCGAGTCCACATAACCATGATCCTCGTGTGTGGATTTCGAAAAAAACTGCACTTTGAATAACCAAACCTGGCACCTAAGAAATGGTAGTTTTGTTTATATTTCAATACACCTCACACAGGGTGTTCCAAGCAGTTCCCGTGAATTCAGCTTTTGTTTTTGCACGTACACTTACGAAAAGACTTTAAAACTTACATCATTTAACTATTGTTTTATAAAAATTGTTGACATTGAAATACATATGAGAGAAGCTAGCTATTGATGCATTAATGTTTGCTTTACAGTTGTCTTTGCTGCAAAAAATCTTAAGAGTTTATTCGCAGCAGTCATGTCCTGTGTGTTTCTTATGGAAGACCAAAGCGCTTTATTGAAAAATATAATGCGGCCAGTGGAATAGGGTCTTTTTATGAAGGAAATACATATTATTACAAACATACATAAATATTTGTTTTTGTCATCATTTCCTTTTTTCTTTCTATTTATTGCTGTTGAACACATTTTGAACTGACTAAATGTTTTCATTTTTTTGCTCGTGCTATATATATACTTTATACATATATATATATTTATATATATATAAAATTATATATATATATATAAAGTATATATATTTATATATGTTACTACATTCTATGTTTTTGTGTATATTATATTATGTGTATAATATATTGATGTAGGTTGATAGTAAAAACTCGTTATAAAATAGACGAACCTAAATGCGCCATGAAAAATGTTTGAACTAAGCTACTATCATCCTTACAATGCTCTTCGAATTACATTGGATTTCAACTTCGTATATATGTACTAAATATAATAAAAAATATCTATATAAAAAGATATATACTATATGAATGTAAACTGACTGGTTGTTTCTGCATAGAAGCAGGGAAAAGTCGCGCTGTAATTTTAATTTTAACTTATCATCTCACGGTATTTTAATTTGTGTTTGGTTAGCATGTCGGTCACCGTGACAAGTTTCTTTATGGATAAAATATTTGATAGTACTTGTAAATCCGGTAAGTAAGAGACGCAAATGTGGTGCAAGGTGGCCAGTTCGCGACCTGTTTGAAATGTGTGGATAGACGTATTGAATTATTTGTAGCATCAAATTAAAAATATGGTAAAAGAAATTTCAGTTCCATTTAGACGACCCGTTATCATAAAATATTTTTATTTCAAAACAATAGAAATAATAATGCGTTTTTTCAAATTGTCTGAAACTGTTAGGATTTTTAGTCAAGGTTCGTTTCCAATATGTCTTAAATTTCTGGTAATACTTCGTTTCGATCACTTCCGAACTACTAAACTCAATAGTACATTCGAACATGTGAAGATCTTCTTTTTTTGACGGTGAAAAACGGGCCGTGTAAATGAACCTTTACAAACTACCCCATCTGTGTTATATACCTGTATCCTGTGCGCTAAGATTCGGGTTCGGCTCCACATACATGCCCATAGGCGGATTCGGATCTGTTACCTGTGATAACTGATCCAAGAACACAATCATACGTTCCTTGTTCTTCAGTATAAAGGGATTGACGACCTCCATATATTGCTCCTAAAAATAACACTCCGATTGGCTTTATTATCTAAGAAAATTGTTATAGTACTCACCTTGCCGCCAAACTCAATTAAGTTTGCTAAGTTTTGCAAGCACTTGGCTATCATTATGAGTGAACGTGTGGCCGCCGTTGGAGGCGTCTCACTTACCAATCCAAACTGTCGCGGATTCAGGAGTGCCGGACACAGTAGCCGCAGGAATATGAAGCCGGACACAACCCGTGTGCGTACCAAACGTTCCGTGGGCCACTTGGCTACCACTGCCTTTTGGAGGCAATTGCATATATAACGCACATTTCGAGGGCACGAATCCGGCGATGTGAATATTGACTGGGTGACAAGGTCGAGTATTTGCAACAGGAACTCTGCATTCGAGCATGCGTCATCATTTACATCCATTTTTGTTGGATTTAGTTCGGCGGACTGTTTGCTCTCCAATATTCGCTGCACTGTTTCGCTAACAGCTGACTGTAAAAATCCTGTGCATTCAGTGCGCATGTATAAGTCCATCAGTGTGGTGGCCAGCGAGGCGCCTCGAAATAGTGTGGTTGTTTCATTCTCACGAGCCACTTCTGCCTGACATAGCGTGCGTATCAACTCCGTCTCACGTTTCTCATGCTTAAAAACTCGTAATAGTGCAGTCGCTAACGGAACACGATCATTGTGACAAAGCTCAGCGAGGGCTTTAACTGCATACAATTCCGGTTCGAGGAGTAGTTGCTGCAGCGGACTATACTCCTCGCAGGGCATGATCAGATCATCCAAATAGCGCATTCGCAAGCGCAATGAGCCCCACTCACCCATTGGGGTCATGCCTGTCAATGTATACCAACCCTCTGTTTCCTGCCCATTCTTAAGACTTGCTAGATCAATGGTTAGCTCGGCTACCTCAGAGTCTTTCCCGCGTTTTCCTCGTGAGATCAGGGTAATAGTTAGTGAAACAACATCCGGTGGAACGTCGCTGTAATGGTAAAAGCGAAAGGAATCGAATAAGTTTATACATATGTACATAAGTCACTAAAAATAAATACATATACTAAGGTGCGTTGCAAAACTATAGAAAAACTTAAAAAATTGCGATTGCTTAAAAACGACTGTGTTAATGACAAAATAAGGAAGAAATAACGGTATTTTGGAACATTTTGTAGTGTTAAATTTTAAGAAATAGGGGGAAAACGGTTTTTTGCTGTTGTATTACTATAGAACCACTAGCGTTATATGCAATTTTTACTGGTTTTAGTCAGTGATACTCAGTTGTTGATTCAAGTAGAGTTGAACACGGAGAGAATAATTAATATGCCGCGTGGAAAAATATTACAAAATTTTGAAAAAGGGCAAATATTGGCATACAAAGAAAAAATTTGGCCATTTGTGAAATTTCCGGAAAACTCGCTCGAAGCTATGTAATACTGTAATTTTTGAAACATCCGGAATCTATGGGTCAAGAAATTCTGGAGGAAGGAAAAAAAAAATTAACCAAGACGAAGAACGTAGAATTTTAAGGGCTGTGAGTAACTCAACCACGTGTTTGGCGGACCTTCAAAAGCTTGTTGACGTTCCCGTTCACCGATCGACTACTTCCAGGCTTTTAAAACGAAGCGAAATTATTACATACGCTAAAATGAAAGCTGCCCCGAGACTATTGAAACGTCATAATTCGGCTAGGCTGGAATTTGCAAAGAATAATAGGGCCATAAACTGGGAATCTTTAAGAAAAAACATATCTTTATTATTTGAAGTTTTTAAAAACATTAACGGCTTAAGGTGATTTTTTCTGATGAAAAAAGTGGAACCTCGATGGTCAAAGCGGTTTTCGAGATACTGGCGCGATTTAAGGAAGGAGCCGTTGGTGTTTTCCAAGCGAAAATCTGGAGGAGCAAGTGTTCTGACTTGGGCAGCATTTTCTGCATGAGGTTGCTTAGAAATCCAAGGATCAAAGGCAATTCGACAATGTTCGTGAATTGAAAAGGACAATAATAAGAGAATGGGAGCAATTGGAACCAAATTTGCTCAAAACCCTTGTTAAAAGTATGAAGGGGAAGTCTTATTTAACAAATTTAAGCCATTAAAATACATTACAAATTATTATTCATTTCAATATTGTAAATTTACGCAAGTGGTTCTATAGTAATGCAACAGCAAAAAACCGTTTTTCCCCTATTTCTTAAAATTTAACACTAAAAATTTTAACCAAATACCGTTATTTCTTCCTTATTTTGTCTTTAATATATTTTCACAGAACATTGTTGTACCGTACAGTCAGTAGTTTTTAAGCAATCGAAATTTTTCAAGTGGATCTATAGTTTTGCAACGCACCTTATTTACAAATTAATAATGTTACTGTTGAGCAAACTAGATAGTGAAATGTCCAAAACATTTTATATCGTGTCTACATGTGGTACAACTTCTGGCAGCCTATCACTATCACCGTTAATTTACTTCGTCTTTTTCTTGGTTATATGTATTATACTTTCCTTGTAAACATACAGATGAACAGACTTACAGAAAAACATTGCTAGAAACAATGAACTTAATATATTTAAAAAAAAACATTGAAATAATGAATATGTTGTTATTTAAAGCGAAAAAATCATTCACTTATAGTAACTTGGAGAAAACGAGTAATATGCTTCTCTTAGGATTATCTATGCATACTACAATATAATGATTAGCTTTGAATTATACTTTACAACTCAATCAACAATTATTATTATACTCTGTACATTACATGTGATGGTTTTCGAGTGAAAAATGTAATATGCACAAGGAGGTGTGGCAGACTCCACACACGGATATGGCTATATCGACTTATCTCGTCATACTGGTCAATAATATATATACTTTTAGGGGTGTGTTTATTTTTTTTGCTCAAAAATAATGATTATGGTTAAGTTGTAAAGTATAACTCAAAATTAATCATTATACATTATATATAATTATTTTGTTATTTTTACAAAACTCACAGTCCCTTATTTTTTCTAAAGATAGATAAATTTTTTGTTATTTTTTCATTACTTACTCCAATACAAACTCTTCCTCCCAGACTGGCTCTGGCGCTAATTTGACACGTGTCTTGCCCACCTTCACCTGGTTAAGCGATATGCTACAGTATGGATGTGGCACTAGTTTTAAAGGCAAGCGATGCGCCTCCAACACATGTAAATTGAGGCAGCGAAGCTCGCGCAAGCGTGACACCTTCTTCTGTGCCCGACTTAACTGTGAATCACATTGAGCCTTTAGCGCATTTATCCACTCCACATAGCTTTCCGGACTTGGCGCACACAAATAAGTGACGGTGGCCAAACATGGAAGCGCGCGCTCTACAATTTGGAAGCAATATGGTCGCTCCCAGAGCGAGTCATGGCACTGATAGAGATAAGCACACGAGAGATCTATAAGACCCTTTGGCTTAGTCTTTTTGGGATTGTCATAGAAACAGAGCTGGGTCTCGGTGCCGTCGTTAATAAGAGCGAAGTACAATTGTTTCCACTTTGTTGTTTTGTCCGACTTCTTGTTAAGATGCCCGTGATGCTTGATGCCCTTAATTTTCTTTAAGCCAATTTGATCACGGCACTCACGTAAAGTGGCATATATCTTTTCCGCTGCTTTTTCTACGACATACTGTGGATTGAATTCGGGTTGTGTGCCATTCACAACGGGATGATTGAGCGAATGCCCTTCGACTATTTGCTCCTTACGATAGCGATTGATTACAGCATCCAAACACTCAAACGTTCGCCCGCCCATCAAATAGCGGACTCCCTTCTTTTCAATGCGAAATCGCTGTATCTGATTATTGATGTGGAAAAACAGCGAGTAATCACCAGGTGAATTGTCACTAGGTCGTACTAGGAAACTGCCAGGTCCAGCTGCAAGCAACCTCAATAGTGAAGGTTTCTATTGACAATATTATGTGCTTACCCTTTACCAACATGTCCACGGCTTCGTTTTTTGTGCAGTTTGGATGAAACCATGGAAATACTGTGTTCGGGTCAATAGACACATCCAAATCATCGACGAGCTCACGAAAAATCATTCCCTGCTCCCCAGTGCGATGTGCTGTTACCCACAACCAGCCATCACCCATGTCATTGTGCACAAAAAAAATGTCACCCTTCTGAAAGCTTAACTCATCTGTTTCTGGCATTTTTGTATATGGCAAAATGGCAACCACCCGTTTTTTGTCATTGACTGGTTCAGGTGGTGCCACAGGTATGACCAGACGTTCACGTTTGAGCAGATCACTGCATGAGGTATAATAACCGACAAGGTCACTCAACGAAAAAAATTGACGGCCGCCAATGTAGAAATCACCGCAAACCGCCGTAATGCTATAAACGGTTTAAATCAACAATTAATCTTTAGAAGCTGGAATAATAAAAGTGGTAGGTTACCGAAAATGATTGATGCCAGTGCGTCCATAATAGCTTAACACATAAGATCCGGGCTTTCGATCACTTTCACGCACTGCGAAAAGCGAATAGGTCATACAATGAATTTAAAAATACAATATATGTATATGCGGCTGGTGCGATAGGTACTTAGCCTACAAAAGAAAAACGATAATTTTTAAAAACTTGGCGATTTCATTCTCAACATAGTCTCCTTTTAACTCAATACACTGGACTCAGCGATTCTCTAACTCCTTTAACCCGTCTGAAAAATACTTTTTCGGGAGGGCTGCAAAGTAGGCCTCCGTGGCGGTGATAACCTTCTCATTCGACTCAAATTTCTGCCCGGTGAACACTGCTCTGAATTTCATGTAGAATACCTATGAGGTCTCCCAGCAACCTCACGCACCTTGTTAATACGAGGTCGTGGACTTTTGTCACGTTATCCTCCGCGGTAGCCATTTTCGCGGTACGTGGACGTGGCTCATCAAAAACCGAGGTGCGACCACGTTGCAGCTCGTGAAACCAATTTCTGACGGGTGTCATCGAAGGAGAGGAGTCACCGTACACACCAAACTAGAATCGAAATACCGACCGGTATTGATCTTTTTCCATTTTTCTAAAATCCGTGAACACGCCCGCTTTCACACGCGGTCAAAATAAGTCCGGTTCGTCTGAAATTATAACAGTAGCCGCCTACAATTATATACTAGAGTAAACTTAGCTTGATAGTGCTGCCATCGGGAGATGATGCTAAGTACTTATCGGACCGCCTCGTATACATATAAATGTATATATATATTTATATATATGTATATCCTAACGCACCCAAATAGCTTGCCAATTTGCCGCTCCCACGTAGACGTGATTCTGCGGAATATCGATCTAAGCGCCCATGATACCACTCACTTTCCGGCGGAGCAATTATAGCCGGACGTTCTCCTAAAGATGAAAAAGGAAAAAAGTATACAGACGATGATATACAAGTTTTGTATTTTTTTTTTTTTTTTTTATAAAAATAAAAAAATTGACATTAAATTTTTGTAAATTTATGAAATTAGACAACCACTGATTAACATTTACTAAGAAGAAATTTCTAGGGTCGAGAGGGCCCAACTCTTAAATATCATGTGCACAAAAGGTATACTAATTTAACGTCAGTTCAAAAGGGTTGGCTTAGATCATAGCCAGGCAGAGGACAACTAGACGGAGCTCTGTATAGTTCCAGATCATAATATTTGCACTAATATAAAAAGGGTACACACCCTAGGACAAAGGTTATCTATGACAAATAGTAAAAAAGATGATACGACAAAATGCGTATCTCTCTACTTTCATATTACTCGTACTTACCATTTAACATATGCGGTCCATCAAATTCATCCTGATCCAATTCCTGTGCTAAATCGGCTAAATCGATCCCACCAGCTGCCATCATGGCGCCCAGACCACTGATGCCAGCTAATGTTGCTAAATTTCCGTCATCACAGTCTCCTGGTGGCGAGCCAAGTTTATCTTTCTGAATGACAACGTCCACATTACCCAAACGCATCAAGTCAGCCATTATGTGCGTACGTAGTGTTAGTTCTATTAGTTAAATCTTCTTTTTTTTGGTGTATTCATATGTGCGTATACACTTGTTTGTGCCTAATGCATATGGCGTTGATTTTGATCAGTTAGTTGGTTTACTTATTTTTGAGTTGTTTAAATACATATGTATGTATTTATTCAATTTTATTATGCCTATGTTTTTGCTTTAAAGCCATGTACAATGCAAAGCAGTACAAATAAGCTAAATGAATAAGAAAAACAATGGTAGAATTATAAGGGCACGAAAGTTTAGAAGCAAATAAATAAATATGTACAAACATACATACATACATTTGAACATGTGAATGTGCGTATATATGTAAATACATACATATACATACATAAATACAAATTAACGCCGTAAATACTTACAGGAATTAGTGATAAAACAAAATTAAAACTGCGCCCTTTTCCCCTCTGTTGGCGACGAGCCACCTAAAAAATAAACAGAAACACTATCAGACAATTTCGTTGTTCTAAGAGGAATAACACACATGTATTTATATACATACATATGTACCATACGAAAAAGTGCGGCATGTACATATGTATGTATGTATGTATATAGTTACATTTGAAGGCACATATGATTAATCTTGCATTTATTTTTTTTAATGACGGCACTGTTTGCTTTGTTTGCACTGTTGAACTTTATTATACAAATATCTGTTAACTACCTTACCGGGCTAAAACGGACTACACCCTCTTTACCAAGACCACCCTTCCGGATAAAATGTAAAATATATATCCATCTGATCCACAAACACACACAAACTTGAGTAAATGATAACGAAGTAGCAAGGTAACGATTAAAGCATAAATATCGTACACTTACAATGTACATGTATTTGTAATTGCTGAGGGTATGCACATGTGTAATCACACGCATGAGGGAAAAAAACGGCACAAAGAAAGACGTTCAATTCAGTTTGAGAAATGCGAAAGATACTCGTAAAAACAATAACGCACTTAAAGACTACAATTGCGAATCCTTTTTCATCATAGAGTTGAGATATATTTTATAGCAGTAAATACTATCGATAATATTGACGATGCATTCTATACCGTTTACTATCGATAGAAATACTATCGCAGTATTAAATATGTAATAGGGCTGTTGATATTTTTGAAATTATTAATTTTATTTTTTTTAAGTTAATAAGTTAATAATTATTAGCGTTTATCTTTAAGATTATTCTAGGATATAAAAGATAGGAAGTCCTGTACCCAATCCTATAAAAACAAAACAAGAAAGGAATCGACTTGTCTTGTCATACCGATCAAGAATATATACATATACATATATACTTTGGGGTTCTGCCACGCTTCCTTTTGTATGTTACATACATTTGCAAACTATTATACCCTTTTACCCTTTGGGTACAGGGTATAAAGTTTTTTTATTCGATAAAACCTCCTTTGAAATTTAAACTCACGTAAAGGTAATTGCCAAATTGATTAAAATTCCAAGAACTACGGGAGTTATGGAAAATGACTGGAGAGTTGGGCGGAGAGGATAATTTTGAAATACTAATGCTGACGGGTTTCAAGCCGAATATGGAAATATCGACTCATCTCTTCATATATGTATGTATGTACATATGTATGTATGTAAATGTACAAATGCAGTGACGCGCACATGTGGATACATATTTATCACTTAAAAATGCATCAATCCTTGTAATTCTTTTTATTTACTTCTTTTTTTAATTTAATACACAAATAATAACTGCTTTTAAGAAACATTAATTTCATAAAATAAATGTAACTTAACAGAAAAAAGGCAATGTATTTACTTATGCAATATTTTGTATGCTTTCTTAAACAAAACCCGGGGATTCCCAACAACAAAAGTGTTCTCGTGTTACTAGTTATTGAAAAAGTAAAATAATTGATTCCTCTTGTTTCTTAATTCGCGTGTTATTCCTACATATTCACACTAAACCAAAAATGAAGAAAATATCGGGAAGCTTGGAAAACCAAATAATAGAATGATTATGGATCGGCACGGGAGATCGCTAAGGTACTTTAAATTTGCCACCAAACTGTTTTGCAAGTTCGAAAAATACGCAACGTGCCTCAAAATCTTAAACCACATCTTCTTACCGACAGGAATGCGTGGGCTATATTATGACCACCAGGAAGAAGACAATGCCAAAACAAGCTGCAACGGCTGTCGAAAAACTCGTTAGTGAGTAGACGGCACACGAGCTCTGCACAAGACTGGCTTCACAGCGCCTATTAAGCAAAAGAAACCTGCCCTAACTGGAGCAATTTGAGCGTGGAAGTTGGAAAAAAGTTACTTGGTCAGATAAGACCAAAATAAACAGATTTAAGTCTGAGGGCAAGGAGTACCTCATGAAGGAGGTTGTCTGATGGTTTGGGGATACTTTACTTTGTGGAATGTCGGCCCATAGGTGAAATTTATGGGATTATGAAAAAAGAAGATTTTGAAAAATTATTTTGCCAGATTTCATGGACAAATGTGCTTACCCCGTCTCCAACAGGAAGGTGATCCGAGGCATACGGCCAAAATAGTGAAAAAATGGCATCATGACCAAAGTTTCACCTTATGCAGCGGCCTGTTCAGAGCTTGATTTGAACCCCGTCGAAAATTTATGGGGTCTACTGAAGAAATAGTTGGCCTTCTCCACCAAAGGATTTGGATGAGCTATGGAGCCGCGTGTAGACGGAGTGGTACAAGATTCCACGCGACCACATACAATATTTAGTTGAAAGCTAAGGGTCTAGCCTTTTTCCTGCTAAGTAAAATTTTTGTATGAAGTAAAAAATAATGTAAAAACAAGAAAGGAATGCTAGAATCGAGCGAGCCTAAATACCCTGTACACACCAACAAAAAAGAAATAAAAAAATTAATTTAAATAAATTTAATTAATAAACTAAATTAAATATAAAATATTCAATACATGCATATATACATAAGTGTTTACGTACAATTTCAACAGCATAAATTAACATTAGAATCGTGTCTATGCGTGCTTGTATGCTTGTAAAGACATAAGTCAAAGCAGCAGCAACAACTACAGCTGCGGGAGGAACTGCGAGCAGACCGTCGGCAGGGAGTATATTTAGGACTATAACTTTCTCCATAATTAACCTATCGTAATGAAACTTGGCATACGCACTCATAATCACTAACTGGAGTATCTGAGTATCCAAAAATTACGGGAGTTATGGAAAAAACACGAATTACGGAGGAGTGGGAGGATGTATCAGAGAAAATGAACAACCTTTATCTGCTTAGGGCTCAGGAGAACCTAAATACCAAGTTTAATTATTCTAGCTCTTGTACTTGCTGAGATCCTTGCGTTCATACAGACAGACAGACGGACATGGCTATATCTACTCGTTTTCTCATACTGATCAATAATATATATTTTTTGTAGGGTCTGCCACGCCTCCTTTTGCGCACAAAACACTTTCACCCTTTGGGTACAGGGTATATAAAAGGAATTACAATAATTGATGCATTTTTAAAGATTTTTAAAGATAGGCATAATAGATGAAAAATGGTAAACATGTACACACATACATACATATCTACATGTACCACTATATATGTATGTACATATGTTATTTCTTTTTGGGGACTGCCACGCCTTCTTTTGTATGTTAAACACAAATTAACCTAATTAATACTTGTTACTTGTTTACAGAGTAAAAAAAAATACAAAAATAAAAATACGTATTAAATTGCAGGAATACCTTGCAATACAATTGATAACCGATTAATTTTGTATATCGACGATGTGTCAGACCCAATAGCTCGATTTCATCTTCTATTTTGATGTTGTTAGATTACATAAAGAGGTAAAAGTGGCAGGATAATCTACACATGAAAAGAATATAGCATTCTCTGATTTCTTTGCAGCTAAGACCTTCTGACAAGAAAATGTTGCGCTCTGCCGTTGCTGGATTTGGCAAGATTTCTTGTAATGCTGGTTTAACGTCGAAAGTGTTAGTTGGACATACCAACCATGTCATTGGTGCTTTTGGCGTTGCCCCAGGCGCTATATGGAAGCGCCAACAACAGACGATGCCAGTAGTAGAGTCACCGAATAGTTTGCCTAAAAAAAGATATTCCCCCTTTGGAACGAATCAAGCAAGCATTGCAGAGTGGTCACTAGCTCGCCTGGACGATCTTTTGAATTGGGGTCGCAAAGGATCGATATGGCCCTTGACATTTGGTTTGGCCTGTTGTGCTGTAGAAATGATGCACATCGCTGCGCCACGTTACGACATGGATCGTTATGGAGTTGTGTTTCGCGCTTCCCCACGTCAAGCGGACGTCATCATTGTAGCCGGTACGCTTACTAACAAAATGGCACCAGCGTTACGAAAAGTGTACGATCAAATGCCCGAGCCGCGATGGGTCATCTCAATGGGTAGCTGTGCTAATGGTGGTGGCTACTATCATTATTCATATTCAGTCGTACGCGGCTGTGACCGAATTATACCCGTCGACATCTACGTACCTGGCTGTCCACCTACGGCGGAAGCCCTTATGTATGGCGTGCTGCAGCTTCAAAAGAAAGTCAAACGCATGAAGACGCTGCAGATGTGGTATCGAAAGTAATGGATATGCTTTTTACATATATGTATGTTAAAAATTTATACCTTTACCTGGTTATTTAAAGTGGATATGAATGGAGTTGGGCAACAGATACCGATTGCATAGATTGTGCTTGAACATTATTCTGTTTATTCGAGTATATATGATTAAAAATTGATTTTATTATCAATTAACTATACGCAAGTAAAATTATTTATATTCCTGATTAGTAACGAGATGATAAGGTCAGTCGTTGTACACGTTTCCATTATTCTGAATAATCGCAGTATGCAGATTCTGCATACTACATTGGTGCATCAGAAAAAAAACTCGTCCTTTTTCGGACTCTAGATATCAAATTTGGTTATTCTTGCTCTTATACCTTGCGTTCATAACAAATCTGCCTATGGCTTACGGGTAATTGAGACTTTTAAACAGAAATACTTTATACATGGCTAAATCGACTCGGCTTCTCATACTTCTTAAGAATATACACACCTGTGTGTTACATACATTCTCAGTAAATCATTATACCCTTTTACCCATTGACGGTAGCTAGGAGATTCGCCATCGGATAACTCTTGATAACTAGTGCTAGTATGAGCTTAGAAAACAGTTCATGAGATTACTTCTCTCCACGCACTAAGTAAACCCTTTATAAGTCTTTTATCTTGCCCGTGCTCCATGACCGTTAACAATATTAGATAAGGGCGGGTTTCGGAAGAAAGATCCTGAAACAAATCTTCAGACCGCTTAACGTTAACGATTGTATGAGCTATACCGTGACATTGATGTAGGCAAGCGTATTCAGATAACAGAAAACAGTGCAGTCCAACGAAAAAGTTATTTAAAACCGACAACCGGTCATAATGGCTACAAAAGAATAAGAAGAATTGTGGCACCACATGGGTAGTAGAGATGGCATGGACCGGTTATTTCGGCCCGACATGACACGGACGCGAAATTAATTTTTGGAAACAAGGCGAAAATATTTCTAAACACGGTTCAACACGAGCCTGTTATAAACAAATGTGAAAACTAAAAAAATATATCCACATTAAGCACTTTAAATTTTTATTAAATAATATATACTCATCTATATTTAAGCTAAGAAGCCGATCTCGACGCTTATTTAAAATTTCTCCAGAAGTTGTCAGGGATATTGACTATATGTCTTGATATTTGCTCTAGCAATTCCAAATTTTTTTTGGCTTCTTCACAGTACTTTAACCCACAAATTCCTGGATCAACAGCACTACATATATAGTTATACAAGGTGCGTTTGAAAGTAAACAGGACTTTTTGAATTTAGCGCCCCCTGTTGGCGCTATCTATATGTCGACTGGTGCGTTAGAATCTGCTATCTTTATCGATTGTCCAGTGAGAATTTCATGACATTTAATCGATTCGAAGTGAAGTTATTGCGTTTTAAGTGTCAGTATGTTTGTGTTATCGGTGCGAAAATGAGCTTCGAACAAAGAGCCAACATTCAATTTTGTTTTAAAATTGGTAAAACTTTTACCGAAACGTTTCAATTGATGGAACAAGCTTATGGAGATGATTGCCTATCCCGTAGCAGAGTGCACGAGTGGTTTCAACGTTTTCAAAGTGATCGTGAGGACATAAATGATGATCAACATGTGGGCCAATCAAAATTCGTGATCACCGAAAATTCCATCGAAACTGTGCGTGAATTCATCAAAAATCAGCCGAAATCATCATTGAAATTGATGGAAATGGAATTGAACATCTCCAAAACATCGATTTATCGCATTTTGACCGAACATTTGAGCTTACGAAAGGTGTGTGCACGGTTTGTTCCGCACAAATTGACTGACGACCAAAAATTTCTCTCATCGATCGACGGTTGTGACCGATTATTTGACCAAAAATCACATTTTAACCATTAACCACTCGCCGTATTCAACTGATATGGCACCGTGCGACTTCTACCTTTTCGGAAAAATGAATTTGCCCATGAAAGGAAAGCGTTATGAAGACGTAGAAGCCATTCAAAAGGCTTGCACCGGCATACTAGCGGCCATACCGGCCAACGAGCTAAACCACTCTTTCGACATGTTTTTGATCGTGCAAAAAGCTGTATTGAAGCAGAAGGAGACTATTTTGAATAAAATAAATTGATTTTGCCGAAAAAAACCATTTGTTCTGTTTTTTGTTCCCGATTTTCCGTTCGTATAATTATCTATATATCGGAGACTATGAGACCTAGGGACACCAAATATTATTCCAAGATACCTACGCAGAAAATGTGTATTTTGGAACCTCCCTCCCGTGCAATTAGTAATTTTCCATAACTTCGACCGTAGTTCTCAGACTTTTTGACTCAAATTTGGCAAATACTTCCAGTAACTTCCAGCTAAGTTTCATCATAAGCCGATTTTAAAAGAAGTTATAGCCAAATTTAGGTTCTGTCAGCTCGACAACTGCCCGCAGATGTTGTTGCTGCCGCTGCTTTGGTTGAGCTTTGTGCTGTATACATGCTTACACAGACACGTAGATAAAATTCCTATGTAAATGTGCACTTATACCGTGTTAATTAATTATATATATTTTTTTAAATATTCTTAATTTTTTTATTTCTATATTCATTCTACACGTACATAGTATTTCAAAGTCGGGACACCCGATTTTAGCTTCTCCACTTGTTATATCAGAAAACAAACACCAAAAAACATAAGATTTATAATTTTTATTCAAAAACAGATTCTACGTTCATTCCATTGACTTTCTTTTAGGAAACATACAGGTTATGTATAAAAATATTTACATGCAGCCAGGGTATCAAACATAACGTATAAACGAGGGCAATATTCCAGCTTTTACAGTTGAGTCAATTTGAATTTAGACTCAGCATTTCGATAATTTAGTTCGATTAATATACACGATACCATCCGTGTGTCACAATCAGCTGTAACTTCTAGAGCTAGTGGGCGATGCTGCCAAAATTTATACACCCACGAACTTCGCCGCTGAAATTCCACTCACAGCTGTATCTTGCTCCACCATTGGTGAGCTGTTTTACGGCCGGAAGACCGTTTGCTGTACGGGAACATCGTACGTCCGTCGACATGGACAAGGTTTACTTGCGCAATATAAGCAATTCGGAGGAGTTGCATATAACATTCCGCTATGTGAATGAGACTCTACACGTTGACAGAGACTTCAACTTCTGTCGACGCATGCACGAACGGGTTGACGAGGCCCTGGCCCGTATCCGCAACAACGTCGAGAAGGAGTTTAAAAAACGGTCTAAAAAAAGTGGAAAACGGCGGGCACCAGTTGACCTAGCTGTTTCAGAATCATTGACTCAAGACACAATAAATGAAGTAAGTATGAATACATTATGGTTGTTGAGCGTTGTGGTCTCATTTGATTTTGTTACTAGATAAATATTGGATTGTATCGTGACGGGTGCGATGACTGCATTACGAATATAACTTTTGCCGAATTATTACGAGAAATTGCAAGCGGATTGGAACTTCGTGTCATGGACAAAAAGTTTGATGTAGTTCTCAATCAGCCATGGACTGTTAATCTTCACTTACCCAGTTCAATTCTGGCTGGTTTCCTTGTTTACCCGAATAAGCTGGATCTCCAATTTGCGACACGCGAACACAGCTTAGGCCAATGGTACAAAGCTGTAATGGTATGTTCCTTTAGTTGGCGGTGCAATCAACTCCTGTTTGCTTTTATTGCAGCCGCCATCAGGAGACTTAAACAAAGGCACCAAATGGAATCTCTGCGGGCATGGCTTAAGCTATAAAGTAGAAGATAAGGATGTCGGCCACTACCTAAAACTAGTGGTAACGCCACGTAACGAACAAGGCAACCAGGGTCCTACTTCCGAACATATTGCAAAATGGCCAGTACAAGCTGGACCAGGAGTGTGCCCATTTGAAATACGTCAGCAACAAACACCCCAGCCTTTAAAAGAACCTGACGAGTTACGTGTGGTGACATACAATTTACTGGCCGACTTGTATGCAGACTCAGATTACTCACGTAAAACACTCTTTCCCTACTGTTTGCCCTACGCACTAGAAATTGATTATCGTAAGCAGCTTTTCATCAAAGAGTTGCTGGGCTATAACGCAGATTTGCTGTGTCTTCAAGAGGTGGACATTAAGATTTTTGATTATGATTTAAGAACAGTACTAGAACAGCCGCCTCATAATTTCCATGGAATTATGGCGCCAAAAGGAACTTGTGCCGAGGGTGTAGCCATCTTCTTTCGTACAAGCCGTTTTGAATTAGTATCATCTTTTGTGTTGCACTTGGGTAAAGTTATATCCCGCTTGCCAATTTTTGCGCCATTATGGAACAAGATTAAGGACAACCCACGATTGGTAACGCGAATCTGTGATCGTTCTACTACCCTACAGGTGAGTTGCACGGTATTGAATTATTCATTATATAATTCATTATAACATTTCTTTTGGCAGTTATGTTTGCTGAAGATGAAGGGGACTGATCGCTTTATTTTGGTAGCAAACACCCATTTGTATTACCACCCAGATGCAGATCACATACGTTTGTTGCAAATCGGATTTTCTCTAATCTACGTTGATTATGTCTACAAACAGTCAATGAAGGAGCAAAATATCAGTGACCCTAAAAATATTGGCCTTATTTTTTGTGGGGATTTCAATAGTGTGCCTGAATGCGGCATCTACAAGCTTATGATGGACCAATTTGTAGGCAGTGACTTTGATGACTGGAGCAGCAGTGAGTATAAAAAAAACCACGCATGATTTTGGCGACAAATCTAAATAAAATGCTTATAGACGCTGCTGAAGCCGTCACCGATGTGGAGCTAACACAACCGTTCAAAATGCTTTCCGCGTGTGGAACACCAGAATTCACCAACTTTACGACTCTTTTCTCCGGTTGCCTAGACTATATATTTTATCAAAGTGATCACTTTGATTTACTGCAGTCAGTGCCGTTACCTACTAATGAGCAGTTGACGATCCATAAAGCCATACCATCAGTTACATTTCCATCGGACCATATAGCTTTAATAGCAGACCTCAAATTTAAAGAAAATCAATTAAAATAGCGTTTAATAACTTCTTAATTTTAACCTTTTGTTTTGTTGATCGTATTAGGATGCTTTCCGAGCTAAAGAATAAATATATTTTGTAAAGCAAAGAAAATAAAACTTTATACATTTTTATATTTTAGTATATAATGTTTTTGGATAAAATAATGACGTAACGCCGAAGCACCGCACCAAATGAGGCTTCGAAAGTTTAAAAGGTTCGGTTAATTTATTTCCAACGGAGAGCATAAAAGCAATTATTTAAATAAGTTTATCAATAGCATGACAACTCTGCTAACGAGACGATATTGATACCTATGACGACAGACATTTATCGATATTGAACAGATATTATGCAGTATCATCGGTAGTTTCATTGGTCTAAAGTTGTCAGCTGTTGTTAGAAAACAAATATGAATTTGTCGTTGGCTAACACTATCCAAAAGTGAAAGCGAGTGATGTGGAGTCGATCTTGACTTTAATGAATTATTTGTGAAAAGTTTTTTCTATCAAAATACGTGTGTAAAAATGATTTCGGCAACATGTGTGGCTCCGGTTAATATTGCCTTGATAAAATACTGTAAGCATCAGCATAAAAATATTTCAAGTCGCCTACAAATATTTTAATTCACAGGGGGCAAACGGAATGAAGATTTAATTCTACCCGTTAATGATTCGATTAGCATGACACTTAACACGAATGAGGTATGTGCAATCGGTTGTCGTTTTCGTTTAAAAAAATAATTAGTTTTAGTAGATGTGTGCAAAGACCACAATATCCGCATCGGAAAAGTTCGAGAGAAATCGTATGTGGCTAAATGGTGATGAAGTGGACTTTGAAGAAAATGTGCGTCTAATGCGCTGCTTGAAAGGTGGTAAGTTAAGAAACAACACTAACGACATGGAGTTATTTATTAATATTTCCGCCGCTATTTCATTTGTATGAATTCTCCGTAGTTCAAAACCTTGTACTTGCGAATGGGATATCGAAGGTCCCTCTATCTTGGAAATTGCACATAGCATCACGTAACAATTTTCCCACCGCAGCTGGTCTAGCATCAAGTGCAGCAGGCTATGCCTGCCTTGTATTCACGTTAGCGCGTCTCTATGGCTTACCCCATAATGAAGAGCTAACTACAATTGCACGGCAAGGTAGTGGTTCAGCTTGTCGCAGCTTGTATGGTGGCTTTGTGCATTGGCATCGCGGCGTATTGGAAAATGGCAGTGACTCCGTTGCTGTACCAGTTGTTCCAGCTCAACACTGGCCCAATATGCATGTGCTCATCTTGGTTGTAAACGATGCCCGTAAAAAAACGTCTTCGACATTAGGAATGCAAAGAGCTGTTACTACATCAACATTGCTCCAGCAACGTGTTACGGACGTGGTTCCACATCGCACAAAAAAACTCATTGATGCAATAAACACGCGGAATTTTACTGAGTTTGCAGAAATTACAATGAGAGAATCTAACCAATTTCACGCTATTGCATTGGACACCTTTCCGCCTTGTATTTATATGAATGATGTTTCACACGCTATCGTTAATTTCGTTCATTCTTATAATGAAGCAGCTGGTACTATACTTACAGCATATACGTTTGATGCAGGTCCAAATGCGTGTCTTTATGTTTTGGAAGAGCACGTTCCCAAACTCCTAGCTTCTATTAATGAAGCGTTTCCTAACGATATTGCGCAGAGTGTGGAATATTTGCAAGGCATTCCTATGACAACGCCGTCGCCTGTATCTGGAAATGACCAAGGCAGCGGTGATTCATCCAAAAAATGCACAAATGAAAACGTTAAGATAAACCATTCTACGATCGATACGTATCCAAAGAATCTTTTAAAATACATAATTCACACAAAAATTGGTGACGGACCACGTCAGATGACTGATGAGGACAGTCTATTGTCTGATGGCTTACCGATAGCTAACTAAAATCGCATGCACCGAACACACACATCTAGGTATCGTTTGATAAATTTAAAATATTTCATTTTTTACATATACATAAGTACAGTTGGGTTGGTTCTTTTAATCAAGATGAGTTTGTGGTGGTCTGTATAAAGCTTTAATAGACAGAATTGTAAAATATTTACATTCATTGCCTTTAAGTATGCAATCTTAATACAAAAACCATATGCTAATTCATGTTATTCACAAATGTTATGCTCAAATACATAATATCGGCGCCAGGGGTATAATAAAAACAATTATTTTGAACTGTTGCGTTATCTGTTAATGTCCGGCTCAGTCAGTGTATATAGCAGTAAGCCATTGAAGAAATATGTATAACTGAAATTTGCGTAAATTTTGTGTGGGAAAATGTTCAAAGTCCTCAAAATTAGTGACTTAATTTAGTTGCTTCACTTGCTCCATCGGTTGTTACTATAAATATGTATAAGACAAAAAGCAAAGCGAGACTTGAACCACATCATTGATGATTGATTTTTATACCCTGTACCCGTAGGGTAAGAAAGGTATATTAGGTTTGTGCAAAGTATTGAATAGATTATATATTCGCTGAAAAGGGAAGGGCTCAGTAGGAGTAAAGTAAAAGACAATAGTCGCGGACCGCCGTGCGTCTGTTCGCTTTAGAGTTTTATTGGAGACTGACACTTTTGCTATACATATTCTTTATGCTTACATTCGTATGCAACAGTGACAGATAACTTGTAGATAACATAAGATTATTATCTGCTTATATTAACATGCGTGCATTGGTACTTATGTTTGTATTGATTTTCAACACCCTTCCTCAATGCAAACATGTTTTACAAAAATTTTCAAATCAAATTTAACAGCTTTGTAAAATGAACATGCTTCGCTTTAGGGAGATTTTTCGTTAAAATATCAGCTATCATTTCATTGGTTGATGTATACTGTAAAACAATTTGTTCTTCGTTTACAACCTGTCTTGCAAAATGATATCTAATATCAATATGCTTTGTTCTTTCATGGTGTACAGGATTCTTAGCTAATTGTTGAGCACTTAAATTATCGCCATGAAGAATAGTTGGAGTACTCGAGTCACCGCAGCCAATCTCCACTATAAGACGCCGTAGGTATATGGCCTCCTTACACGCAGTTGAAAGAGCCATATACTCCGCCTCCGTGCTGCTAAGTGCCACGCTGCGTTGCTTTTCAGATCGCCAGGATATGGGTCCTCCAGCCAAGTAGTATACATAGCCAGTATACGACTTGCGATCGATGCGGTCGCCACCCCAGTCTGCATCCACATAGCCGGTAAGGGGTTGTCCACACTCTTTGTAGTGCAACTTCAGGTCCACAGTTGACGCCAGGTATCGAAGCACATGTTTTACACCCACTAGGTGCTCTGCATGCGGATCTTGATTCCGTTGAGCTAACTTGGCAACGGAATGCAATATGTCTGGCCTTGTTGTAAGCGCCAGCCACATTAACTCGCCAATTGAAGACTGGTAGGATGCAATGTCAACCTTTTGACAATGCTCGCTGGTACATATCACTTGGAAACCAGCATCCAGTGGGGTCGCTGTAGGTCTACAGGTCTCGCATCCATGTTCACGCAATATGTCTTTGATGTATTGCGAATTGCTTAGCGAAATTTCGCCAAGCTCACCGTCGCGCTGCACTTCCATGCCAAGGAACAAATGCAGCTCTCCCTTGTCAACACATTCAAACGATGTTGTAATGGCTGACTTGATGTTGGCCAAGTCCTCTTTTGATCGGCATGCTATAATTATATCATCAACATAAACAAGGATTAATGATAAGTCACCTCTTCCGTTCCTTTTGTAAAGACACGGTTCATTTTCACATGCTACAAAATCTATGCCTTGTAGTACACAATCGAGCTTGGAGTTCCACTCGCGCCCCGACTGCTTCAATCCATATATTGCCTTTTTAAGCAATAAAGCCTTACTTGGATTATTGGGATCTGTGTATCCCTGTGGCTGCTTCATATAAACAGTTTCATGCAGGTCGCTATTCAAATAGGCGGTACACACATCTATCTGGTGAAGGTACAGCTTCAATTCCGCTGCTAACGCCAAAATAAACCGCACGGTTTCCAATCTGCAAACGGGTGAGAACGTCTCTACATAGTTCACGCCATACTTCTGGGAGCACCCTTTAGCAACGAGTCGTGCCTTGAAACGTTCGACTTTTCCATCAGAGTCACGTTTCAGGCTGTATACCCACTTGCAACCAACTGCTCGCTGATCTTTTGGTAAATCAGCCATCTGCCAGGTTTCGTTTGATTGTAGTGCCTGATATTCCTTTTGCATCGCCTCTTGCCAGAATACTGCATGTGTGCTACCAACGGCCTGATCATAGGATGTCGGAACCATTACGTCACTAGCAACCAATGCTCCAAGCACATTGTATTGCTTTCTTGGACGACCAGGTTTACCATTTCGAACAATTTTAGGCCGGCCTGGCCCAATCTTCACAGTATCCTCGTCAGAGTCTTCTTTTTCGACTGCACTCTCATATGCGTTGGAGCTGCTGTCGTCAGAACTGTGCTCACTGTCATCGTCGTCGATGCTTCTGTCACCATCCGTGTGAGTGACATGCTCTTGAACCTCGCATGCAGGAAAATCTACCGTAACGGTATCTTCATTGGTATGACCACCACAACGCTCATCAAATAGAATGTCTCGTTTTTTCGACAATCGTCCTCGTCTCTGGGTCGTATAACCGATAGCCTTTGGCTGCTACCGAATACCCAACCATACGGTACTCATGCCCTTTGGGTTTGAATTTGCCTTTACGGGGACCCTTTGCAAGTGCAACTGCAATGGAACCAAAAACTTTTAGATGGCTAACACAGGGTTTCTTACCTGTCCACGCTTCCATTGGAGTCAGGTTGTTCAGTGCACTGGTAGGTGATCTGTTTCTTATGTATACTGCTGTGTTGACTGCTTCGGCCCACAAAGACTCGCCTAGGCCCGACTGCACCAATAAGCATCTGGACATCTCCGTTAATGTCCGGTTTGCTCTTTCCGCCACGCCGTTCTGCTGCGGAGTATAAGCCACGGTCAATTGCCTTGCAATACCATGGTGTTTCAGGAAACCGTTGAATGTTGTGTTGACAAACTCGCCTCCATTGTCGGTTCGAATACATTTGAGCTTTTTATCTGTTTGCCGTTCAACCAAGTTTTTAAATTCGACGAACTTACTGAACACTTCATCTTTCTTCCGCAAAAAATAAACAAATATACGCCTGGACTTGTCATCGATGAAGGTCAGAAAGTATTTGGATCCAGCAAGTGACTTCGTGTCGAATGGGCCGCATACATCAGCATGAACCAGTTCCAACAGCTCTTCGGCACGGTTAGTGCTTACCTTTGGGAATGGCTGTACATGTATTTTGCTTAGCATACACGTTTTGCAATTCAAGTTGTCTGGGAAAACAACCTTTCCAATACCACGCACTAGCTCTTTGCTGATCACTTCCTTCAGACTGGTAAAATTTAAATGGCCATAACGCTTATGCCACAATGTACCATCTGATTCAGTTGCGGAATAACACCTATTTTGTTTGCCTTGAAACATATAAAGGTTCCCAACTTTATTCGCTTTCAGTATACACTCGCCGTTTTGTATAACTTTAGCAAAATGTGGCCCAAAATGTATAACATTGTTCTTTTGCACTGACCGGCTGACGGACATAAAGTTGCCATTCATTTTCGGTACATACAGTACATCTGACAACACCAAGGTACAAAGTTCTGTCTGTAACTTCACCTCTCCTCTGCCTTCGGCCTTCAGGAAACCAGCGTCAGCTAAACCGATCATTTCAGTGTGCGCAATAAATTTTGAAAATAACGTCTTATCGCAACACATATGGCTTGTTGCTCCGCTGTCCAGACACCACATGTTGTTCTCTATCTTTCCAACGTCCAACGCATTTAACAAGCTGCTCTGCTTTTCCATCTCTTTCTTTGTCGATTGCTTTTTCCCTTCACCGCGAATTTTCTCACGCTTGCACTGTGCCTTGTAGTGCCCTTTTTCGCCGCAGTTGTAGCAAACGACGATTTTTGAATTCCTTTTTGAATTCGCTTTGGAATGCGCGACGATCTGCTGCGTAGCTATAAATGCTCTTGCATTCTCGCTCTCTCCATCTGCATTGCCTCTGCGCTCTCCCTCTTCCATCAGCTTGATACATAACACATCAAATGACGGTAAATTGTCACGCGTCTCAATGGCGACGACAAAATTTTCGTATGGTTCGGGCAAGCTTGACAACAACACGATTGTTTTTAACTCATCATTTAATTCGATGCCAACTGTACACAAACCATCCAGAATTTCGTTAAATTCGTGTATGTAACTTGAAATGCTTTGGCCTTGAAACATGCGTTTGCCTAGCAATTTCTTGTACAGCGACACTTTCCGTACAGGTCCACTCGGCTGATGAACGTCCTTTAACTTTTTCCATGCCTCGTACGAAGTGTTGCAATTTTTAATGAAGCCCAATTGTGAAGCTTTTACACTTAGCGTTATAATTGCTAATGCCTTTTCATCTTTTGGCCTTGAACTCTCAGTATTACTAGGTTCAGCACCTGATGCCACACTCCACAATTCCGCGTGCACTAAGACAGATCGCATCTGTATGCTCCATGAGTCATAGTTATGCTCTTCCAATTTGTCTATTTGATATAGCGCACTCATTTTTTAAATGTTATATTTCTTGAGTCACCAAACGATTACTATTTCACAATACTTTGAACTTCTCCTATGAGCCTATATGCCCTGGGCCCAGAACCTATTGAATAGATTATATATTCGCTGAAAAGGGAAGGGCTCAGTAGGAGTAAAGTAAAAGACAATAGTCGCGGACCGCCGTGCGTCTGTTCGCTTTAGAGTTTTATTGGAGACTGACACTTTTGCTATACATATTCTTTATGCTTACATTCGTATGCAACAGTGACAGATAACTTGTAGATAACATAAGATTATTATCTGCTTATATTAACATGCGTGCATTGGTACTTATGTTTGTATTGATTTTCAACACAAAGTATGTAACATGCAGAAGGAACCATCTCCGACCCCAATATGCGTATATTTATATTCTGAATCAGCATGACGGGAGAAATCGATCTAGACATGCCCGTCTGTCTGTCTGGATGAACGCAAGGATCTCAGAAACTATAAAAGCTAGAATAACCAAAGTTGGTATCCAGATTCTCCTATATCAGAGAAAGGACGAGTTTATTTTATTTTTTGAATTTTCC